GATTAATAAGAGCTTCCGGTTTCCGGTGTTTTGAAAAAAAAAAAAGAAAAACTAAGAAGTTGCGCTGCATTACCGGCAGGTGGTGCGACAATCGCGCAGCGTCGCCATCGATGACAGCGACGGCGATCAAAGCCGTGCGGAGTATCTGGGAGAGCAGTCGCGTTACGCTTTCCTCGTCGCGCGAATTCTCGGAGTCGGGAGTCACACGTATTACATTATACGTATATACGTGTGCGCGCGCGGTTCACGGCAGCCGGGTCGATGTGAAGAGGAGAAGCGAAAACGCGAAGTGGCGCAAGAACGAAAGATGACAGCTCGGCGTGTGATTTGACAAGTGGAGAAGATAGCGTCCGATGGGAAAAGTGCCCTGTTGAATACCGCGGTGGTTGACGGACTAGTGGACTTTAAGGTATCCGCCGCGCGCGCAATTCTGCGTATAAACTCCTTCGGTTAGTGCTCTCTCTTTCTCCTTTTCATCTATCTCTCTCTCTCTCTCTCTCTCTCTCTCTCTCTCTTTCTTTTGTCTGCTGTTCCCCTTTTACGACCATTCGCGCGTTAGGGTAGCGTTCGAATGTAATCGCTCGATAATCGTGCAGATTCGAGGCGCCGCGCGTCATCGAACCGCGGTAAACTCGGCCGAAGTGCGGGAAAAAGGGTTCAAGAAATCGATCGCACGCGAAATGTACCGCGCCAAGGAACCAGATCCGTATGACGTTAATATATTATATACATACATATACCTATACATTCACATATATATATATATATATATATATATGTGTGTGTGTATTGCACTTGGGATGTATATACGTATTCAAAAATACATGTATATGTATATATGCGCGTATAGAAGTGTGTGCGTATAGAAACCAGCCAGTGGAATCCCGGTTTAATAATTGCGGGATGTAGCATGTCGTTTTGCGCGTTCTTGAGGTTTTCCTGTTTCCCATCGGCGACCAATCACACCTCGCGCAATCCGGTTCGTTCCGATCGCCGATGACTCGTAGCATCCATAAATGTTTGCTGTTAAAGAATTTGTTCCACGGTATTAATTACAGAGTGATGTGTTTACTACGACAAGTATCAATTTTCTGCCAATGCGAAACTTCCAACTGTAATTACAAACATGATAATCGTTTTTTCTCCTGTTACTCTCTTTCGATTACTTTAATCTTCTATCCGTCGAATCGTTTAACATTTTCTACGTTGCTATGAAATTATCAAATTACAAAAGATGTTCCGAATTAAAATAATTTTTAAGTACTAATTTAAAAGTCATCATCAGTTCTCCAAAAATTTACCTGTGACTTATGTTACATATATTATCGTCATATGTGTTAAGTCTTTATTTTTACAATGCAATATTCTTGAATAAAGACCTTAATATTTTAAAGACCTCGATATTAACTATAAATAATAATTAAAATATATATTAATATTTATGATTAAACATTTCTAATCTCCCTTCTCCTCTTTCTCTCTCTTTCTCTTTTTAAATCTTTCTTTCATTCTTAAACTGTTTGAAAATAAATTTAAGCGCAGAACAAAACGCGAATATAAAAATAATCAAGTCACGTTCTGAAACATATACGCGATTATTTAGAATGGAACGTATCGAATGCGCATCGGAAATGAACGGTGCAGCGGGATTAAAGCAACGCCCAGGCGAGAAAAAAGAAAAGAAAAGAAAAGAAAAACGTGCGCTACTTTGAATTTCGGAAAATCTACGTCTCGAGACTTAAGTCCTCGAGTGAAGAAACGTAAACGTCGCGAGCCGGAACGCTGTGCGACAGGCAC